ACATGTGGCAAAGTTGAATTTTAAATTGAATGGGGGAGAGAACGTATAGACCTTCAAGACACAGAAGTTTAAAGAAAGGAGATAAAAAGGAGAAAGAAAAGGCATGAATACCCTATTTTCTTCCTGTATTAATCACCTCTAAATACTCTTTTAATACTCAATACTTCTGTCTTTCTTCTTTTTTTTTGTTTTGTTTCTGTTTGTACAGAAATGGTTGTGAACTTGCAAAATCAATTTGGCAAGCTGTCTGGTTCAGTGCGACCTGCTGAAAAGCCAAATCCTTCAAGTTTTCAGTTAAGCTGGTCTGAAGAAAACACAGATGGGAGTTGTTTTCATGGGCATAGCCTGAAGGGAATTTTGCAAGAAAAATGCGGTGTACTTACAGCCATGAACCCTGACTATTGGCTGTGCACAGATAAACTCTGTACTGAGAAGTAAGTATTCAGATTTTTGTGAGGTACATTTTGCAAAGTTCTCCTCGAAGTGAAGTGCCGTATGTACATTTTTACAAATGACAGATACGGGGTGTGTACACGCCTATGTATTCACATGTAGTTAAAATCATTTGTAGAAAGGGGCGTGTGCAGAATGCTTAGTCCTGGGTTGGGAGTAGACAAATTGTAATATGAAGAGTGATCAAAGTGAGCTTTTGAGGAGACAGGAGATGAGACAAAATCTACAGCTAGAGTCACATGGCAAGAGTAGCAGCTAGATACAAATACTCGCTTCGCTTCCTCCTTCATAGTATTTTAGAAAAAAGTCACAGCTCTCCAGAGAATGGGAAGATGATTCCACTCCTCTCTCTTCTGGCCCCCCGAGAAGCATCCTAATTTTCTAAATCATTGTACTGCTTTTGTGGTCACTTTAATAAAAAATAAAGTTAAAATTAGCAGTCGGAATTCAAATAAGCAGACAATGCCTCCAGAACGTATTGTAAAAAAAAATTATTTACAGGTGAAAAGGACTACCACTGTTTTGTCTAAGCATATTGGCAATTAACAGTTGTATTTTTTGCAAACAGGAAAGCGAAGGAAGAAATTTCCCTTTCTGGAAAATTAAAAGAAGAAATATGAAAAAAGAAAACATTTTGTGCTATTAAGAAAGTTTAGTGTCTGTCTTTATTAGAGAACTGTTCCTAAATCCTGCCTTCACAAGTGAAAGGCACTTTTTTCAGTTAATGGTGTGTCAAAATAATCGTGCTATTTAGTAAAATTATTTTCTTTAAAGGACCTAAGTAGCAAGAAGAGTGATATCCAAGCTAATCCAGCCTTTTACAAAGTTACATGGATATTTAAGTGTCTGCCTGTCTTCCATTAATAGCTTCTTGTGTGAAATCCTGACAAAACTGGTGAATATTGTTCCTGGTGGGTGCTGGCAGAGACAGAAAGCAAAAGGCCTGCAGAGAGAGTGTAGGAGTTCAGCAACATTTACTGCAAGGAGTAGGAAATCTCTAAAATAACGTTTCTCATAAACTCCCTGGGTAGTGTAGATACAGCTTCTGGATCCTCCGCCAGGTTTTGGTTTTGCCATTGGTTGTATCAGGGAACCCTAAGCCAGGAGGGGAGCGTACCCGTGAGTATCAGTGAAAAAGATGAACTTCGCACGTGGCTCCTGAATTTCTCACGGGTGCAATCGAAGGGTGTTCTTTTGGAAAGGAGATGGAGTTATATTAACATGAAATGAGATTTCATTAGTTCGTCGAATAACATCTTAAATCTTTACCTGGTGTAAGCTTCTAAATGGCTTGCTTAAGAGAGCAATATATTCCTGATTTTTAAAAGTCTTTTCTGTCTCTCAGTGGATTTATTTCCTTATCTTTATTTTCCTTTTCACATTGCCTTTCACATATCCACCGTGACAGAAATGGGTTGGAATAATGTAAACATAGTGTTATATTACAAGAGCTTTGCTTGTATGGATTCATTCTTTTGTATGAATAAGAACCCCTTTTTTTTTTTTTGAAGGGAGGAGAGGTAATAATCCTTTCACCACAAATTTGCGTAAATCCTATGTACACACTGAATGAGTGGATATTTCAGTGTATGTTTGTGTGAATAATCTTTCATGCAAAGTGTGTTTTTAAGCCTGCATTTTCATATGTAATATATTAAAACGTTAATGGCAAACTGTCATAGCCTTCATGAAACAAGATTTGAATTTAAATTCTTACCGGTTAAATTTCCCATTATATCATTTGCAATGCAAGTAGTTAATTATACATCTTACTTACATACAAAGCTTACTTAGCTTTGGAAAACAACATCTACTCCTTCAGATATGAGGGTTCATCCTAGGCAAGTGTGTGTATGTATAATAGAACTAAAAAAAAACTTACAAATTCTCTAAAAATCAGTGCGGTCAGACTGGGACTACTGGAATGCTTTAATCCTAGGACTGAAATAAGATTTTGGAGTGGGCAAAGCTGAGATCAGTCAAACAGTTGGTGAAATGCTTTTACATTTTCTTTTATTTTAAAACCTTCAGTTTTAAACTGGATTCTAAATTGATTTGATATAGAAGTCTTTAGGCTATAGGAGTTTTATGGTTGAACTTAATGATCTTGAAGGTCTTTTTCAGCCTAAAGGATTCTATGATTCTGTATATGATGAGATATTACAATGTGTGAAAAAATGTTGAGAAAAATGGATTTCCCTTATTACATCTAAATTTAGAATCACCTGGAATCATTCTTTCAGCTCTTGCGAGATTCTCTTAGGGTAAACAGCATAAAAATAGCACAGAAATAGCACAAAAAGAGCATAGAATGGGGCAAAATATGTGGTTAGGTACTTCTGAGAAGTGTAACTCCAGTTAATTAAACACGTATTGATGTAATTATGCATTTGACTCAGAATATACAATATCTCTCCCCAGCCTTCCCCCAATGAAAACTAAGATTTGACACCTGAATTGCTGTAAGAGCTGCAATTCAGAACCCTGAATCTCGGGCTTCGCTAGGGCATGGCCATATGTCTTAATTCATATTAGCCAAAACCCACAGATTTGGTTACACCAACATTTCTCAGTGAAGTTTGAATCTAGCCGACACGTTGGGCTGTGGAGTCAGCTAGTTTGTTCTGATGTTGCTGAAATGCCTGATTTAATTTAGTTTTTTTAAGAAGCTGCTGGCAGCTTTCAGGGAACATGAGGCAGGGCAGAGGATGGGACGTACGGCACGAGAGACCTAGTTCCAGATGTCCAGTCTGCCTCTCCTCAGAAGGATTTAGACAAAGACTCTGCTCTCAGAAGCGTGGCTTGTGTGGCACTCCAGGCCGGGTCTGTCTTTTCCTCCAGTTTGAGGTAAAATGTAAATGTTTGTTGGGCCAGAGGGAGCAAGCAAATGACTCTGTAGTCTAGTAATTAGCCCGTAAATTGGGACAGACAAATGCCAGTCCTTGTTCTGGTGAATATTTGAGACCGCTGCTCTGAATCAGACAGAAGGGGAATTTTAAACTCTGCTTCTCCACATTCCAGGGCAATACCTAGTAAGCTACAAGATGCATAGGTCTTATGTGGTGAATAGCACCTGGATCCCCATATGGTTTTTTAAAGAATTGAAGCAGCTGCATCTTATGCTATTTTAAACTTAGTCTTTTTAATAAAACCAAATTTGAGGCTAACTCAGAACAGAGTATTTTTCCAGCCTGAGCTGCTGAACTTAATGTTTACAGAACTGTCTCTGCCGTCTATCCTCCGTGTCATCTTCTCTTCAGTCTGACACTTGTTACCAGCAAGTCGAGTCAGCAATTTTCATATATATATTTCATCAATAAACCACCTTATCATTTCATTAACATCTGCACTGTGAAAGCTACAAAATGATTAAGCAGAAGGCTGCTATAGCACTAATTACTTTCAGTCAACCTGGGCATTGTTTCCCATGTTACTGTATTGTCTTGAAGTTAGCTTTTCTCTCTGGTTTCTAGACAGATAATTTATATTTAGCACAAAAAGGCAATGAACAAGAAAGACACATTGGGGCTGGTCTCTTTTCACAGGTAATTAGCGATAGAACAAGAGGGAATGGCTTCGAACTGCAGCAGGGTAGGTTTAGACTGGACATTAGGAAAAAAAATTTCAGAGAAAGAGTAGTCAGACATTGGAACAGGCTGCCGAAGGAGGTGATTGAGTCACCATCCCTGGATGTGTTTAAAAGTCATTTAGATGTGGTGTTGGAGCATATGGTTTAGGGGTGAGCTTTGTAGAGTAAGGTTAATGGTTGGACTCGATAATCCCAAAAGTCATATCATAGAATCATAGAACAATTCAGGTTGGAAAAGACCCTTGGGATCATCAGTCTTTTCCAACCTGAATGATTCTTTGAAATGGATGGGTTGTAATCCCACTGCATAGTGTCAGGGAGAGGGGACTCTACGGAGGGCGTAGGCAGAAAATAGAGAAGATCCTGGGGTGACTACGTTGGATAGTCTTAGCAATTTGAAAAATAGGGAGAAATTAGCCATTTTCACACTTTGCTACATTTGCTAAAAGCTAGTAGAACAAACACTCCCTTACGAGGAAAGGCTGAAGGAGCTGGGTCTCTTGAGCTTGGAGAAGAGGAGGCTGAGGGGTGACCTCATTAATGTTTATAAATATGTCAAGGGGGAGTGTCAGGAGGACGGAGTCAGGCTCCTCTCAGTGACATCCAGTAACAGGACAAGGGGCAACGGATACAAGCTGGAACATAGGAGGTCCCACAAAAATGTTCAAAACTTTTTCCCTGTGAGGGTGACAGAGCACTGGCACAGGCTGCCCAGGGAGGTTGTGGAGTCTCCTTCTCTGGAGATATTCAAAACCCACCTGGACGTGTTCCTGTGTGACCTACTGTAGGTGATCCTGCTCGGGCAGGGGGGCTGGACTAGATGATCTTTTGAGGTCCCTTCCAACTCCTAGCGTTCTGTGATTTAGTCCTGAAAGGCAAAGAACTTATTCTTTGCCTGGTTGAGTCTGGTCCTGATATGTAGTGCAAGAAGCTATTCAGGCTTTTCCTTCTTACCTTGTCTGCACCATCTCTGAACATGTCTTGTTCTTGTCCTCCACCTCAAGGCTTTGCAGGAATGGATTCCTTCACAGAATCAGCACTGTTGGCCAGAATTGTGTTGTTGGTAAAATGTAGTTTTCCTCTAATTCCTCCAGTAATATTTAAGTCTGTAAATGGTAGCTAATGACTAACTAAATATGCTTGTAATTTAGGGCTTTTACTTTTTTTCCCCTCTTTCGTTTCAGGTTGTGTGGTCATCTGGCTCACTACAGAGAAGCAGACTTTCCCCATAGTTACCATTTTGTACTAAGGTTATTCTCCTTTCTTCTGAGGATACAGCCCTCTTACATTCATGATGAGGTGTGTGTGGTAGAACAGAAACTTTTTAATAAAAAACTCTTCAAAAAGACAAAATACAGCACAGGCCGAAGGAAGTAAAAAGGCCTAAAAATAGCAGTATTAAAACAGTGTAAGTTAGGTTGTTGGATCCCAAACCATTGTATTACATCTAAACTTAGACTGATCCTTTTGCCTAGTAGTGCTGAGATCTACTACTGTAACTTTAGTCCTAGTGTCATTTTATCTATAATTTAAGTCACTGGTTTTCAGCTGGGAAAGTTACCAGGGAAACTGTTTATCACAATTTATTCCCTTGCTTTGCATCAGAGTCAGGGGGAAGCTATGAAATTAACATTTTTAGGGGATAACCGTACATACCTTGTATTGGACAGCACGTTAACATCTAACTACATTATGAGATTTTGCAACTAAAGTATTATCTATTTTTTTACCGACCGTTGTATGACCGCAAATGTATTTCTAGAAAGTAATGTTTACTTTGTTTTGAAAGAGTGAAAAAGGAGCAGTTGTTTGATGTTTGCGCGGCAGTGATTTTTTAGACATTATTTCTAAACAGGCAGTTATGGAGCAATTCTGGCACTGTTTTCTCTCTTTCCTTGTATCCTTTGTATCTTCCAGTCTCTTGCTATGCCTGAGCCTCTCAGGCAAGTTAATACCTTTTAGGTCCGTGTTCCACTCCAGGTTTCAGAGATTGTGCAGCGACTTCTATACCTGGAACTGCGCATCCTATTTCCTGTGCCCCAGTCACTGCCAGGTCCTCCTGACATTGTTCTTCAGCAAGGCTACTGTTGTTTGAATTTCTTCTGACCACTTTATCATACAGCAGCTTGCACCTCAGCCATTCTGCCAGTTTTGCATGCTCAATCTTATTCACACGCTGTGTTTTTAAACTGTCCCAGACAACGTGTAAGTGAAATTGGGTACTGCCAGCATGTTAAAGATACCGTAACGTATACATGCATTGAACAGAAGTGTTGAGTAGGTACCCAAATAAATAATGTTGCTTTCAGCTGAACAAAATAAAATTCAGCCACTCTGTCAGTATGAAGTACAGAAGTTGCCAAATCTATTTGATCAAATCTAGAATGTGCAGCTGTGTCTAAGCATTATTGTAAACAAGAAACTGCACACTACGGAGAGTAATTGCTTCCTTCCTCAGCAAGGGCTTCAGTGACATGTAATGCGGGAAGGGAATCAGTTTGGTGAGTATGGTGGAAAGGTTTAAAATCTGCTGCGGTTCAATCTGTGAAGCTGCTGTCTGAAAATCGGGAACAGGTGAATGATAGAGGAGGAGATGTGCTCTCCTACCTGTTGTAATAAGTTACTTGGAGGCTTCACTGGCTCAGTAGAGATGGGAGGTAACTAGGAACGGTGTCCTGATTTAAGGTCACAAAAAAGTTGCAGTTTGGGTGAACGTGTTTACTTTTTCAGATTTTTATTTTATTGCAGAACAGGGATTTAAAGCAATGGTCCTATCAAGTGGTTGTAACATGCAGGTGCGTAATTTTAGCTATATGGAGCTAAAGTGTGCTTGGTGGGTGAAGAGGAAAGAGCAGACTGAATTTTTACTTGTTGTATGTGTTAGAGATTTCCTAAGTGGGTACAGTTTAGTGTGTCTAAATCTCTTGCCTCTTTGTGATAATTCTAGACTTCTGATGATATGTGTCTTGAACTAATGTTTACATTAATGGACTTGGAATGTACCAGTTTGAATCTCTTCTTGTGTCTGATGTTTGTGTTTTAAAATTAGCCACTATCGATTATGTTTGACCTCATCCGAGTGAATTACTGAAATTTATAACTATTTGATAAAATTGTTCATTGTTCTTGTTCTAGATGAGTATTTCTATCAGTTAAAAATCTACAGAAATATTACACGCAGTCACCGTTTTCAACAGCTTGCTCAAATGACTAAGAGTGTCTCATTCGTTTTACTGTAATATCTTTTAAAGTTTTGAATTACCTATCTAAAAGACACCTTGTTACACATAAAGGATTCATTTCATCCAGAAGTCTTTATGTGAGAGACACACTTAATTATAGGTACACCTTTCTTTTAAAATTACTGTAGTTGTAAAATCTGAGCTTCGCAAATTAAAAATACTGTGCTCGTTGTTACATTGTTGCAAACATAACAAAGCTCCCTTAGATGTTAGAATAAATTAAGGCCATATTTTAATAAACTGGAATAAAGCTTGCAGTTAATCATCAAGAGCCATATACCTTCTGGACACATAGGTTACGAGTCGGATTTAAAAGCTAAGGGTGTGCCCCTAAAATGCTTAGTGTTAGTTCTATCCAGTTTAATCAATCAACACTTAGGTTGGAGTAATGATGTTTAAGAAGCTGAGTAGAGTGCCTTATCTTCAGTGAAGTGTAGTTGAGCTCTCTTGGGACACCTACTTGCAGTCCAGTTAATATAACCCCGAGGTGGAGCCGCGGTGGTAGAACAGACAGGAGATGGCTGGAGGGCCGGGTGTCTGCCACAACCTCACAGCCCCAACCACCTCTTCTCTCTGCCTTTACCTTACAGCTCCTTTCTGTAATTATTTGCTGAAAAATGTCCAAGTAAAGCTCATTTTTCTGACAGGTGCTTTTATGCACTTCTTCCCGTGGAAATTTTGTCAAGAGACTTGGTTTGTTTTGTTTCTTATTCTAAAAGTTGAATGAGAGTTCTTAAGTGTATAGATAAAGGCAAGTGGGGGTTTTTTTAGATTAAACTTTCAGGGCAGTATACATCGAGGAGACTTAGAATAGTTCAATAATTATTAACTTAGTCAATAGCCAATCAGTTATTCTGAGACCTTAATGTACCTTCTAAAGTGAATTTGTTTTTTTTCCTAGTTTGTGTGTTATATTTTAACACTGCTTTTTCTCCGTCTTTAAGAGTGCAAAACTAATCTTGCTGTATGGATTCTCCTAAAGAACACCACCTTTCTGTTGTCTCAGTGGAGACATGTGACAGCTCTCTCATTTTCTTTTGAAGGGTACAGTTTTCAGCAGTGTTGGTACTTTATTTTACTGGTTTGGCGCTACCTCAGTGTGTCTGCATTCTCAATATCAACTTAGTCAAACATATTTTTCTTTTTAAAGTTTTCACTGTTTTCCAGACATGGAGAGTTGTTTGGCTTTCTCCACCTTAACCTCTTATGCAGAGTGAGGGCCCTGGACCTTATTTAACTGGAGAATGAGGGTCAGTGAAGCCTAGTATAGACAAGTAATGCTAGTCTACTTTATTTGCTGTAGTGTGTTGTGTGGGTCTCACTGCAATTACATCTTTCCTAACCCCTTTTTATCATGACTCCTGAAACAGTTGGGTTTGGAAGATTTGAGAAAGCTTTGTGCAATGTTGCAGGCAACACAAGGATTAACTCACTTTCTCGTAACTTCTTGGAAAGCTCAAAAGTCTGTTCCTCAAAACAACTTTTCACACTTTATGGGCAAACAAGACTTGCTGATGGTCCTGAAAAAGGATTTCAAGGTATTTATGGTAAGTTGTCAAGAGAATGCTTTTGCAGAGCCGAGAGCAAAAGACTCAGGACACACAGGGCTTTTTAAAATCTGAAAATGTTAAGTCCCTGAATATGGTGTCGGCTCCCCGGTTGATCTGTCCTTTGCCCATATCAGGGTGAGTTTTATGCTGCTTTGCAGGCAGAGAAGCATCAGAATAACTTCACTTAATGAATCTATTTTGTGCCAAAATGATCAGCACATACGGTCATACATAGAATCATAGAATGCGTTGTGCTGGAAGGGATCTTTAGAGGTCATCTGGTCCAGCCCCCAGCAGTGAGCAGGGACATCTTGAACTACATCAGGTTGCTCAGAGCCCCATCAAGTCTGACCCTGAATGCCTCCAGGGATGGGGCCTCCACCACCTCCCTGGGCAACCTGTGCCAGTGTTTCACCACCCTCATAGTAAAGAACTTCTTCCTGGCTGAGTGTGTTAGTATGTGGATTGGTCAAAGCAGCATCTCACGGCATTTGTCCTTGCACTAAATATGAGAATGCCTGCTTTCCAATATCACCTCTGCAGTTACTGGTCTTGTTGCTCCTCACATGTGAAGTTCCTTTGTTACCAGCCAGATTAGATGAGGGAGAGCTTAAAGGGGATGCCAAGATGTGGAAACAGGCGCGCGTGAAAGAACTTTCCACACTGCTGCTTGTGCTAGGATGCTGCTGAGACGGTGAGCAGGAGGGTGAGTAAGGACTGGCAGAACAGGAGATGATGAATGCTTGTGTCCTCACGTGAGGTTGTAGCTCCACTTGTACAACTGCTAATGGCAGCATCTCCAGAGCCAAAACACTCCTCCCCCATACTCAGCATCTACACTGCCTCCAGCAGTACACAAAATATAAGCACATTCCTCTGATGGTCTCACCTGGCTGCTCTGAATTGTGGAAGAGTACTTTGTGTCTGCTCATAGATTGCCCTGTTGTCCCAGCAGTGGCTTTGCTCATCCTTTGCAGACCCTGCCACTGCCTTGTGAGAGTGCCACCAAATTCATTTAATGTCTGTTTTGTGATCTAGTAGCTTGGTCTGGATCCTCGGGCGCTTCCCTGCTGTGGAGGATCCTGACAACGGCTGTGTGACCGAGCATTGCGTGCCCTGACGGGCTGCCCGAGGGGTGTGGGGTAGAGGCTGCTGCAAGACAGGAAGGTCTTTACAGCTCTTTACACTGACAGAGAAGAGGAGAGCATCCTAAAATGATAACCAAGCGCCACAGCTGTCTAGGTCTGGATATCAGAATGCAGAGCCGGTGAAGTCCTGGTGAGCTGTCAGCTCCTCGCAAGCTGGGCAGGCTTTACGTCTGCAGCCAGGCTGGTTCCTGTGCTTGTGAGCAGGACTCGGGCCATGGTCCCGCGACGTGATGCACCGGGGCTCCCCGTGACCACTGCTTGCTCTGACACCCGGGCATGAAGCAATCCACCTGGCCCTGGATCTCACCTGCACAAAGTTGCGCCGCGTTGATCTCAGATTGTGACAAAACCTTTATGTTTACTGAAGTGAGACCCATGGGGTTCGTAACTCCTAACTGGGCAGCCGGGTGTTTTCCGAGCTGCGGAGAAAAGCGGAT